CGCCTGCCCAAGACGCGGCCCGCGGGCACCCGCGGCGCCCACCCGCGCGCTGCCGACGCCCACCCCATGACGCAGAGTGAGTACCCACCCCCATAGACACCACTCGAGCGGAATTGACGGTGCCACGGGAGGATAGTGCTAGCCCTCATCAAAAGTGTCTTAGGATTAGGATGCCTCCTAAAAACAGACGTTGTAATCGAAATTCTGATCAAACGTGTTAACAGAACTACAGGATGTGTAGAAAGCAATCAGAAGTGTATATAGAGAATAAGACAAGTCTCATTGTACTAAAACTATGTTTTTCTTCAGGCTGAAAAGTCTATAGACATGAGAGTTAGCACTATGTTCCCCCAACTCTTTCAATTATTGCGTTGCACAACAGTTGAATTTATTTTAACATAATTTATTATGTTTCTAGTTAAAATAGAGTATTCAACTCTAATAATTTAACATTTAAAATAATTGTAAGTAGCTTCATTGTAGTGTATTTAATACTCACCGGTATGAAAACGCAACACTTTAATTCATCCGCACGAAAGACATTTCAGTATTGTTCAAGAAATTTCAATACATTACCATTTTGTATATTTTACAGAATGTAATATGATACACCCAGAAATATATTGTAACCATAATGCAACCTAGGTAAACCTAGTTCAATAACAGCAGGAATTTTGAATACGTTTGTTAACTTTTCATGCAGTTGAATTGAAATGTTGGGATTTTCTTGCCGTTGAAATGAAACATTTCGTTGCTCCTGTTGGCCAATATAATTAGGTTAGTGAAGTTAAGATAGATATGTTTATAATACTTGTGGTCCATAGAACCACGGGCTTTAATTATATAAAACCTTGGTCGCTCCGTATGTACTCATACATCAATATGCGCCTGTTTAAATATTAACTTGAAATAATTATATTTTAATTAATTAATTTATAATTACAGTAAAACGTCTTGCTGACCACTTGTCTTATATCGTACTTATTTATTCAAAATGCTCGATTTACTAATTTCTTGTACCTGAAAGATTTACTCTATAATCTATACTATTACTCTATAATATAAGTATAGTAAGTGCCAAGATGCAAGTACCTTTTATTTAAATTATAAAATATTCTAATTCTTCCAGAACTTTCGAAACTTCGATCGCACAGCAAGCTACGAGTTCAGTTGAGCGAATATTGATTTTGCATTTTTTATTTCCGTATTATCACGAATTAAACATTTCTGAGATTGATACCTTTTTGTAGACACACAGACGTATGCGAGTTAATTATTTCTTGATGTTTGTTGATTATTTTCAAAAAGAAATGTTCTATGGTTTCGTTGTATTATATGTGACATTTCATATTCAACTAGACCTGAAATTTTAAGTATTTTAAGACTTCAACATTTTTAGGAACAGAGAATTGGAAGCCTCAGTTCATTAATATTCCATTTAGTGGAACATCATTCACAGAACATAAAACCGTTAGTTAGTACCTTCACACCATTTATCTGCCAACAGATGACCATTTTTCAAAGCTGTTAACCGTCACATCTCCTTCTCACCTGTAAATATACAGGAAATATAATTCACCCTCCAGAAAGGAAGCATGAAAACCATCGCCGCCCTCTATATCATCCTTCATGTACACTTCAGCAAAACGAACACATTCTAGGAAAGAGATTTACTCGCATCTCGACCGAAAAA